GACGCGTTACAGCGATGAGACGTTCCAGCGAAACAAGAGCCACTAACCAGTTAGAAATTCTGCCTGGAAGAGGACTAAGATATACGGAGAAAGGAATGATTATTTTCATTGTTACCTCCTTTGCGTTTTCTGGGTAGTAAATCCTGATGAGCAGGGAGACAACATTGACAATTGTCGTAGCAATGAACGCAAGATCAGCAATTGCGATGGCGATCAGAACAACTGTAGTAGAATTAATAGGTTTCCGGCGGATCAAAATAAGCAGAGCCAGTATATTACCAACGATTCCAAAGGCAGACATAGGCGGAATGATTCCACACACCAGTATTTTCTTAAAAATATCCATCACTGACTGATCTATGACGTAATAATTACTTCTGCTGGAACCAGCTTCAGTACTCACGGTTGTCGAGTTTTCGTAATTACCGAAAACATTAGTTGAATTTGTTGTACTATTCTCATTTCCAGCAAAGGCTATTGAAGATTCTGTTGTAAACATTGTTAATCTAATATGGACTGATATAGTAAACGCATTGGGTTCTCTTTTATAGAATCTTCCCTGTCACGTGGTTTTATGTAATGAAAACAAGATCGATTTATGCACATCGAATGAATTCCTCTTATAGATTATCGATCGCCCGTCAGCACTGGCTTAGGAGGCACGGTAGTCCAGTGGTAGGACGCAGGGCTTGTTGAATGCTAGCTGTTAGCGACGAAATGGCAGCTCGGTCTATTTGCTCCCCAGGGAGTTGAGAAATGTACTGGCTAGTTGCAGAGGCTCTATAACCACGGATAATAATTTGTGAACTGCTTTGAGACGACGTACGAACTAGGTTGTGATAAAGCAGTAGATAAGAACCTCCAATTATTATTATTATTATTATTGTAAAGGGTTTGGCGATCACTTCAGCTTTCTTCCAATACAATGATTTGGACATAATTTGTTAAATAAACTGTTAAGATGTAAGTGGTTTTTTTTGCATAAAGCTCGAAAAAAGAATCATTTCGAAAACTGATTAATTTAATTCAATTTCATTTTCAAAGCTGCATAAAACTCGGTTCCTTCCAGGTTTTTCCCTTTTGTGACCATGAAATAAATCTTATCGTTATATCTATATTTACATGTTAGAACAATGACATAATGATATTAAATGTAAGGTTTATATAAAATTAAATACATGAAAAGTGAAAAAGCTTAGAGTCACTAACAATAAAATAAACCTTTGAGATTAGAGTGTTGTAATTATTTGATGTTTATGCCTTGACAAAGGGTTTGGTTTCATCGAAAATAGTACAAATGATATAGTTTGTACTGTTGCTACAACGTCTCTGTTTATTTATCGATTTAAACAATACACTTCAAACAAATATTGGTTTGTTCGATTCAACTGTCTCCATTGCAACATACTGCCGTTATTACATATGATTTAGTTTGTCTGAATCATAACAGCTGTGTATGTCTCTACTAGGAGACAATTATATTAGGAATAATAGCAAACAGTTTTGTCGGAATAATAACGGATATATTAATAAGGCTTTAAATATATACTACTTACGAACGGAAAAAAAAACATTGTCTTATTCCAGTTCCATCTATGTAAAATCGACCTTAGCATCGACTACACGCTTACACGAGTAACTAGCATAGCAATCCAAAAATAGCCTTGAATGACACCCGGACGAACACTGGAGGGGATACCAGAATAATTGTGCTCAACATTCTGTGCTAGCAAAGTTTTCAATACAATGTGCAAATGCAGCGGCAGGGGAAAATTTTCATGGATATTTCGAAGTGATTTTTTTTTGTTATTTTTTGTTGTTGTTGTTTGTTTATGTTTTGTTGGGGGGAGGGGGGAACTACTCGAAAAATTTAAAAACTTCAAAAGGTTTTGAAGTTGGCCCTTAAACGTTTTATATAAACTAAGTGAAATCTGGGTAGCTGGTGATAATTTGTTTAAGAAGATAATGACAGGTTTCGTTGTCAGCTCGGAAACGACTTTATTGTCAAATTTTGATCAGAGTCGTTCTTGTGAACGAGTTTGTTTCGATCGTTACTTATAACATGACTAACTGGAAGCGTGCCAATTTCAGTTTTCCTATTTTTAACCTTCCTTTTCTTGATAGTATCATCGCTGCTTTCCCTACATACAGTGATAACTGGTCGCTGTTAGTTTGATATTCATAGGCTTTCAGCAATTGTTACTGTTTTTGTGGTGAATGCTGACGGATAAACATACACCATTGGGTATCCAGAGATACAGGGTGACCAAGACTACGGACAAGGTCATCATGATGTCATAAGGAACTATTCTATTTTCTTGCGTGATATTAATTTCGATGTCTTTTATTTCGCTCATCAGTGAGGTTAATGGTTTTGTTGTGATAACCCGATTCTAATTTTCTTTATAAGATATTTTTATATATGACCATATTTTACATCGCGGATACTTGCCCCTCCGGAACATCTGGTTTAATTAAGAAATAATCAACATATGTGCGTGTATTATAGTGAAATATTTAACGAGAATGAACAATGATATTTTATTTATTTTTTAAATCCCGAGTAATACTCCACACTATTATAGAAACATTATTATGCTGTTCGTATCTGTTCTTCATAGTGAAGTGTAATACAAGTCTTTGTCTCGTCTACTTGAGTGTCTATACGCCTATAATAAGCAAAGTGACCTAGATATTCTAATTATTTAGATTACTCTTTTCTTCTGCGCATGCAAACATTCATTACGTGACGCCTTTGTGTTTAACAGCAAACTGTGAGTATTTCTCATTTCTGATCCTCTACTATTTTGTCTACATAATCTGAATATATTTAAGAATGACTTTTCAGTTTCAGTCGCCATTTGGTCGACAGACGATAAACAACTAACGCTGACGTCTTTATGCTTTATACCAGATGCTTATTTTAATCAATCAAAACCACCAATCTATCGTCATCAATCGTTAACACGTGGTATCAGAATTTTACAGATTTACAAACACCATTTTAAGTTTGTCTGCTAGCAAATATTTAAGCACATACACAATTAAATTAATTTGACAAATAAATTCGCGGAAAAGTTTTTGGAAGAGCGTTGGCTTGTGGGAAAATTCTACACTCAGGCGCATGCAATGTCGACCAATAATACATGTTTATTAACTAATGAAATTTATCATTTCATCATAAAAATTGGTAGGATCTAGGTTAGCTATTTCTTAAGGGACCACAGATAGAATTTGAATTACGATTTTGTTAACACGACACATGTTTTCGTTTTCCTTTTGTTGTTTGTTTTTAAAAACAAATGCATGTTCAAATTTCGCAAAACACTTTGAACGGTCATTAGTACTAAGAAGTTATTTTTCCAAAAGACCGAGAGTTTGCGGGTTTTTCATTTCATGTTTTTTTTTAGCCGTGAACATTTTGCAAAATGAGGCATCCGCAAAAATATGTACATTTGTATCTGTTAATGTTTACATCTAGTCAAACAGTTTACAAAGTCTTCCGTCATTGTAAGTAATACACATCCAACAAACACCAGTTCTCATTTTACATTATTATTATACATGAAAGGGATCGAAAAATGGACTAGACTTAAATTATGCTCTCCTTATAGATGTAAAGATGCCTTTGTATGCATTAGTTTAATAATGTATTTACAATAAGTGAAATCAAAAATCGTGGAAAACATTTGTTTACATGTAAATATCAATATTCAAGACAGTAGTATAGGGGAGCTAATTCAATTGATAAATGAAGAATTGTTGGTCAGTCTTTATGTTTCAAGATCAACACAAAGTGACCTGTAATTAATTAAATATTTAGTGGGAAACATGGGAAAGTTCGAATATTATATCAATAAACTATGCTGGTCATGTAAGATATTTCCCAATAACAAACTGGGTATGCAATCGGTTTAAAGTAGTGTACAATTCTTTAAATAAACTACATAGTGCATTAAATGTGTCTCGTTACTTGTCCATAATGAATTATTAGGAAAGCATACCTTATTCATATTAGATAATTTCATATATTTGTAATGATATTAAAAACAACCAAATGTAGAATACCCTCCGTTTTCTATAAATTTTAATCAACTTGTTTATTGAGATATAAAACCTGATTCAGCCCAAGGCAAATCTTTTTCTGGGTTCTTAATCTGTCTATCTTCATCTATCTATATAAACTAGATTGTAATAAAAGTGGAATCAATGTTAAGCATGGTCTTATTAGTTTCATCGTCACATTGTTTACAAACATTCAGTACAATGCCAATTGTATAGTACATGTACAAGTGAGCATAAAGACATTTTACTGGTATATGTATATTCATGTATACAATATTTGTACATTGTAACTTATTAATTTGTTATTCTATTTATATCAACCGTTTTGAGATCAAGGTTGAAACACTTTCTAAGATATCCCTATCAGTTTTATGATCACATTGCTTACAACTATTTAGTATAGTGTGATTATCACTTAGAAGGGATGCTGAGAACCATTGTTTGCGATTAATAGAATATATCACTCCTGTTTGATGAAGACAGAGATATCCCAACCAGAGGGTGAAATATTGTTTTAGGTTTAGCACGAGGCTTTGCCCGAGGGTTGAGATATCTCTGTCTACATCACACAGGAGTGATTGATTATTTTTCTCCCATACCGTTAGATGTTTAGACCTTAATCACAATAATTTTACATAGTCATACGGTAACAGATAAATGGTCATTTCGCTTTCCTCAATTTTCTTTTATACCTGATAAAACATTGCGATAAAAAACATTAATATATGACGAGATTCTTCTTTGTTTTATTTTCTCATTTCTTACTTTAAAAAACGACAAATTTGTATTTAACACTGTTATGTCATCTGTTATATCATCGGTGACGTCCTTTACTTTTTTCCTACCGTCGGGCTTTTATACATTTAAATAAATCTGGAAGTTTTCTTACCTTCACGAGAAATATCATTCTGAACCAACCGAACTGAAAATTAGTATCACATATGAACTACCTCAGTGTCCTCCGTTGACGTTGAAGTTAAGTCTATCACAGAAAGATCCGTGGCGCGACTGCTGCTTTTCATGTTGGCAGCGGAAGCAAATTTAGAAATTGTTTTATTTCCGCATCTCTTGCCACAAATAAGATAGAGTTGTTGACGGTATGCACTGTTCATGGTAACGTAGATCACAAAGTTGATAGAGGAGTTGGTGGTTTCCGTAAGCAGTCCAATTAAACTTAGCAGACTGTAGACATTTGAACTGTACTTGACGTGGTTGCTGTTGGGGTCGAAGAGAACCATTAGGCGTGAAATGGTTGAAGGTAACAAACAGACGATGAAAATACAGGTGATAGTAAGGAGCGTTTTTGTTATCTGTCGTTGTTTGCCCATAGCATGATTTTGTTTCTGCCTTCTCCACTTTGCCTGTATGCAGATAACAAAAATGATAATAGTATTGGAAACGATTATCACGCCCATAGGTACAAACCGTAAAAGAGTTTCTGAAACAAGATAGTAGACTTCGAAAAGTTGCTTCTGTCGACCAATAAAACCGAGAGCAATGATTTTCGTTGTATTGCCGTCAGGTAGGGTCACGTCCTTTATCTCGTATAGCCAAAGCTTCGGGCTGGTGAGAACGGCAACCGACAAGGGAAGAACAATCGACAGTACTATCATTATCTTCTTTGTACATATTTGTTTCACTTTGAAGGGACGCGTTACAGCGATGAGACGTTCCAGCGAAACAAGAGCCACTAACCAGTTAGAAATTCTGCCCGGAAGAGGACCAAGATATACGGAGAAAGGAATGATGGTTTTTACCGAGACCTCCTTCGCGTTTTCTGGATAGAAAACCTTGATAAGCAGGGTGGCAAGTGTGACAGTTGTCGTAACTATGAACGCAAGATCAGCAATTGCGATGGCGATGAGAACAACTGTAGTGGAATTAATAGGTTTCCGGCGGATCAAAATGATCAGAGCTAGGATATTACCAACGATTCCAAAGGCAGACATAGGTGGAATGATTCCACACGCTAATATTTTCTGCAAAATATCCATCACTGACTCATCGATGACGAAATAATTATTTTCACTCCTACTATTCACTAAAGTTATGTTTTCATAATCATCGAAAATATTTGTTGAACTATTATTATTTCCAGTAATTGCCAGTGCAGATTCGGTTGTAAACATTTTGATACAGAGCATGCATTGGGCAAACGTTTTCTCATGGTCTTCTTTTATAGATGCCTCCCTGTCACGTGGTCCTTCATTATGAAAATACGATAACTGATCTATGTCTATTGCATTCCACTAACTAAGTATCGATCAACCGCCAGCACTGCCTTGTGAAGGGCATGTAGCTCAATTGTTTTCTTACAAGAAATTGATTAGGGATATAGTGTCAAATACTAAATTAAGTTTTGTTTGATGTGTAGCTCAAAAGCTCTAGCAACTCTGATAATTAAAACGAATACGCATGTAATTTGTACTTATTGAAATAATGACGAAAACATGTCGAAAAAGTAATAGGTATACAATACGGAAGAGCGTAAGGGAAATATAGAAAAACAAGAGGTCCATGGGCCTTAACGGTCACCTGATATATTTATACAGATTGTTGATTTTGTTTTTAACATTCAAAGTGACAAAAAACAATAAAACCACCTTATTCAATATCTAGCATACAGATTTCAGACTAAAAAGTATTTGAAACTAGCACCTCTGATTCTAAACAAGGAAAATGAAGAAATATTAGCACACTGACTCCTTTGAGCCCCATCCTACAGCCCTTGGGG